TCGTGGAACAGGCAAGCTCGTGGAACAGGCAAGCTCCTGGACCAGGCACGCTCCTGGAACAGGCAAGCTCCTGGAGCAAGCAAGCTCCTGGACCAGGCAAGCTCCTGGACCAGGATAGCTCCTGGACCAGGCAAGCTCCTGGACCAGGCACACTCCTGGACCATGCAAGCTCCTGGACCAAGCAAGTTTCTGGACGAGGCAAACTCGTGGACCAGGCACGCTCCTGGACCAGGCAAGCTGCTGGACCAGGAGAGCTCCTAGACCAGGCAAGCTCGTGGACCAGGCAAGCTCCTAGACCATGCAAGCTCTTGGACCAGGCAAGCTCTTGGACCAGGCAAGCTCTTGGACCAGGCAAGCTCGTGGACCAGGCAAGCTCCTGGACCACGCAAGCTCCTAGACCACGCAAGCTCTTGGACCAGGCACGCTCCGGGACTAGGCAAGCTCTTGGACCGGGCAGGCTTCTGGACCAAGCAAGCTTTTGGACCAGGCAAGCTCCTGGACCAGGCACGCTCGTTGACCATGCACGCTCTTGGACTAGGCAAGCTCTTGGACCAGGTAGGCTCGTGGACCAGGCAAGCTCCTGGACCAGGCAAGATCTCGGACCAGGCAAGCTCCTTGACCCGGCAAGCTCCTGGACCAGGCAAGCTCCTGAACCAGGCTCGCTGGTAGACCAGGCACACCTATGGACCAGGCACGCTCTTGGACCAGGCAAGCTAGTGGATCGACACGATCCTGGACCAGGCAAGCTCGTGCACCGGGCAAGCTCCTCGACCCGGCAAGCTCTTGGACCAGGCAAGCTCCTGGACCAGGCAAGCTCCTGGACCAGGATAGCTCCTGGACCAGGCAAGCTCCTGGACCAAGCACGCTCCTGGACCATGCAAGCTCCTAGACCAGGCAAGCTCCTGGGCCAGGCAAGTTTCTGGACCAGGCAAACTCGTGGACCAAGAACGCTCCTGGACCAAGGAAGCTCCTTGACCAGGCAAGCTCCTAGACCAGGCAAGCTCCTGGACCAGGCAAGCTCCTAGACCTCGCAAGCTCTTGGACCAGGCAAGCTCTTGGACGAGGCAAGCTCCTGGACCACGCAAGCTCCTGGACCAGGCAAGCTCTTGGACCATGCAAGCTCCTGGACTACGCAAGCTGTCGGACCAGGCACGCTCCTGGACCAGGCAAGCTCTTGGACCAGGCAAGGTCCTAGACCAGGCAAGCTCCAAGACCAGGCACGCTCGTGGACCATGCACGCTCCTGAACCAGGCAAGCTCTTGGACCAGGCAGGCTCGTGGACCAGGCAAGCTCTTGGACCAGGCAAGCTCCTGGACCACGCAAGCTCCTGGACCAGGCACACTCGTGGACTATGCACGCTCCTGGATAAGGCAAGCTCTTGGACCAGGCAGGCTCGTGGACCAGGCAAGCTCCTGGACCACACAAGCTCCTTGACCAGGCAAGCTCCAGGACCAGGGAAGCTCCTGGACTAGGCTCGCTCGTAGACCAGCACGCTCCTGGACAAGGCACGCTCTTGGACCAGGCAAGCTCGTGGACCAAGCAAGCTCCTAGACCAGGCAAGCTCTTGGACCACGCAAGCTCCTGGACCAGGCAAGCTCCTGGACCAAGCAAGCTCCTAGACCAGGCAAGCTCTTGGACCAGGCAAGCTCCTGGACCAGGCAAGCTCCTGGACCAGGCAAGCTCTTTGACCAAGAAAGCTCCTGGACAAGGCAAGCTCCTGGACCAGTCACGCTCGTGGAACAGGCAAGCTCCTGGACCAGGCAAGCTCCTGAACCAGGCTCGCTGGTAGACCAGGCACACCTATGGACCAGGCACGCTCTTGGACCAGGCAAGCTAGTGGATCGACACGCTCCTGGACCAGGCAAGCTCGTGCACCGGGCAAGCTCCTCGACCAGGCAAGCTCCTGGACCAGGCAAGCTCCTGGACCAGGCAAGCTCCTGGACCAGGATAGCTCCTGGACCAGGCAAGCTCCTGGACCAGGCACGCTCCTGGACCATGCAAGCTCCTAGACCAGGCAAGCTCCTGGACCAAGCAAGTTTCTGGACCAGGCAAACTCGTGGACCAGGCACGCTCCTGGACCAGGCAAGCTCCTGGACCAAGAGAGCTCCTAGACCAGGCAAGCTCGTGGACTTGGCAAGCTCCTAGACCACGCAAGCTCTTAGACCAGGCAAGCTCTTGGACTAGGCAAGCTCTTGGACCAGGCAAGCTCGTGGACCAGGCAAGCTCTTGGACCACGCAAGCTCCTAGACCACGCAAGCTCTTGGACCAGGCAAGCTCTTGGACCGGGCAGGCTTCTGGACCAAGCAAGCTTTTGGACCAGGCAAGCTCCTGGACCAGGCACGCTCGTGGACCATGCACGCTCTTGGACCAGGCAAGCTCTTGGACCAGGCAGGCTCGTGGACCAGGCAAGCTCCTGGACCAGACCAAGAAGGCTCGTAGACCAGGCAAGCTCCTGGACCAGGCAAGCTTCCGGACCAGGCAAGCTCCTGGACCACGTAAGCTCCGGGACCAGGCAAGCTCCTGGACCAGGCTCGCTCGTCGACCAGGCACACTCCTAGTCCAGGCACGCTCTTGGACCAGGCAAGCTCGTGGATCAGGCATGCTCCGGGAGTAGGCAAGCTCCTAGACCAAGCAAGCTCCTGGACCAGGCAAGCTCTTGCACCAGGAAAGCTCCTAGACCAGGCAAGCTCCTGGACGAGGCAAGCTAACGGACCAAGAAAGCTCTTGGACAAGGCAAGCTCCAGGACCAGGCACGCTCGTGGATCAGGCAAGCTCCTGGACCAGGCAAGCTCCTGGACCAGGATAGCTCCTAGACCAGGCAAGCTCCTGGACCAGGCAAGCTCCTGGACCATGCAAGCTGCTAGACTAGGCAAGCTCCTAGACCAGGCAAGCTTCTGGACCAGGCAAACTCGTGGATCAGGCACGCTCCTGGACCAGGCAAGCTCCTGGACCAGGCAAGCTCCTAGACCAGGCAAGCTCCTTGACCAGGCAAGCTCCTGGTTCACGTAAGCTCTTGGATCAGGCAAGCTCTTGGACCATGCAAAGCTCCTGGACCAGGCAAGCTCTTGGACCAGGCAAGCTCCTGGACCACGCAAGCTCCTGGACCACGCAAGCTCTTGGACCAGGCACGCTCGTGGACCTGGCAAGCTCTTGGACCTCTGGACCAAGCAAGCTATTGGACCACGCAAGCTCCTGGACCAGGCAAGCTGTTGGACCAGGCAAGCTACTGGACTAGGCAAGCTCTTGGACCAGGAAATCTCCTGGACTAAGCAAGCTCCTGTACCAGGCAAGCTAACGGACCAAGAAAGCTCCTAGACAAGGCAAGCTCCTAGACTAGGAATGCTCGTGGAAGAGGCAAGCTCCTGGACCAGGCAAGCTCCTGGACCAGGCAAGCTCCTGGACCAGGATAGCTCCTGGACCAGGCAAGCTCCTGGACCAGGCACGCTCCTGGAGCATGCAAGCTCCTGGACCAGGCAAGCTTCTGGACCAGGCAAACTCCTGGACCTGGCACGCTCCTAGACGAGGCAAGCTCGTGGACCAGGCAAGCTCCTAGACCAGGCAAGCTCCTGGACCACGCAAGCTCCTGGACCACGCAAGCTCTTGGACCAGGCAAGCTCTTGGTCCAGGCAAGCTCCTGGACCAGGCAAGCTCCTGGACCAGGCAAGCTCCTCGACCACGCAAGCTCCTGGATCATGCAAGCTCTTGGAACAGGCACACTCCTAGACCAGGCAAGCTCTTGGACCAGGCAGGCTTCTGGACCAAGCAAGCTATTGGACCACGCAAGCTCCTGGACCAGGCAAACTCCTGGACCAGGCACGCTCGTGGACCGTGCACGCTCCTGGACGAGGTAAGCTCTTGGACACGGCAGTCTCGTGGACCAGGCAAGCTCCTGGACCAGGCAAGCTCCTGGACCAGGCAAGCTCCTTGACCAGGCAAGCTCCTGGACGAGGCAAGCTCCTGGACCAGGCACGCTCGTGGACCATGCACGCTCTTGGACTAGGCAAGCTCTTGGACCAGGCACGCTCCTAGAACAGGCAAGCTCTTGGACCAGGCAATCTCCTGGACCAGGCAAGCTCCTGGACCAGGATAGCTCATGGACCAGACAAGCTCTTGGACCAGGCACGCTCCTGGACCATGCAAGCTCTTAGACCAGGCAAGCTCCTGGACCAGGCAAGCTTCTGGACCAGGCAAACTCGTGGACCAGGCACGAACCTGGACCAGACAAGCTCCTGGACCAGGCAAGCTCCTAGACCAGACGAGCTCCTGAACCATGCAAGCTCTTGGACCAGGCAAGCTCCTGGACGGGGCAAGCTCCTTGACTAGGTAAGCTCCTGGACCAGGCAAGTTCATGGACCAGGCACGCTCGTGGACCATGCACGCTCTTGGACCAGGCAAGCTCTTGGACCAGGCACGCTCCTCGAACAGGCAAGCTCCTGGACCAGGCAAGCTCCTGGACCAGGATAGCTCCTGGACCAAGCAAGCACCTGGACCAGGCACGCTCCTGGACCATGCAAGCTCCTAGACCAGGCAAGCTTCTGGACCAGGCAAACTCGTAGACTAGGCACGCTCCAGGACCAGGCAAGCTCCTGTACCAGGCAAACTCCTAGACCAGGCAAGCTCGTGGACCACCCAAGCTCTTGGACCAGGCAAGATCCTAGACCAGGCAAGCTCCTGGACCAGGCAAGCTCCTAGACCAGGCAAGCTCTTGGACCAGGCAAGCTCCTGGACCACGCAAGCTCTTGGACCAGGCAAGCTCTTGGACCAGGCAAGCTCCTCGACCTCGCAAGCTCCTGGACCAGGCAAGCTCACGGACCAAGAAAGCTCCTGGACAAGGCAAGCTCCTGGACAAGGCACGCTATTGGAAAAGGCAAGCTCCTGAACCAGGCACGCTCCTCGACCAGGCAAGCTCTTGGACCAGGCGAGCTTCTAGACCAGACAAGCTCCTGGACCTCGCAAGCTCTTGGACAAGGCAAGCTCTTGGACGAGGCAAGCTCCTGGACATGGACGTAGACGTGGACGTGGACCTGGACGTGGACGTGGACATGGACATGGACGTGGACGTGGACGTGGAGAACTTGGACGTGGAGGATTTGGATGTGGATTGATGTGAACGTGGACGTGGACATGGACGTGGATGTGGACATGGACGTGGACGTGGACGTGGACGTGGAGGACTTGGACGTGGACATGGACGTGGACATGGACGTGGACTTGGACGTGGACATGGACTTGGACATGGACGTGGACATGGACGTGGACATGGACTTGGACATGGACGTGGGCATGGACGTGGACGTGGACTTGGACGTGGACGTGGACGTGGACGTGGACATGGACGTGGACATGGACGTGGACGTGGACATGGACGTGGACATGGACGTGGACATGGACGTGGACGTGGACGTGGATGTGGACGTGGACGTGGACGTGGACATGGACGTGGACATGGACGTGGACGTGGACGTGGACGTAGACGTGGACGTGGACGTGGACATGGACGTAGACATGGACGTGTACGTGGACGTGGACGTGGACGTGGACATGGACGTGGACGTGGACGTGGACGTGGACGTCGACATAGTCGTGGACGTGGACGTGGACGTGGACGTGGACATTGTCGTGGTCGTGGACGTGGACGTGGACGTGGACGTGAACGTGGTCGTGGACGTGGACGTGGACGTGGACGTGGACGTGGACGTTGACGTGGACACGGACATGGACATGGACGTGGACGTGGACGTGGACGTGGACGTTGACGTGGACATGGACGTGGACGTGGACGCGGACGTGAACGTGGTTGTGGACATGGACGTGGACGTGGACGTGGACATGGACGTAGACGTGGACGTTGACGTGGTCGTTGACTTGGACGTGGAGGTGGACGTGGACGTGGACGTGGTCGTGGACATGGACGTGGACGTGGACGTGGACGTGGACATGGACGTGGATATGGACGTGGACGTGGACGTGGACGTGGTCGTGGACGTGGTCGTGGACGTGGACGTGGTCGTGGACGTGGACGTGGACGTGGTCGTGGACGTGGACGTGGACGTGGACGTGGACGTGGTCGTGGACGTGGTCATGGACGTGGAGGACTTGGACGTGGAGGACTTGGACGTGGACGTGCACGTGGACGTGGACGTGGACGTGGTCATGGACGTGGTCGTGGACGTGGAGGACTTGGACGTGGAGGACTTGGACGTGGACGTGGACATGGACGTGGACGTGGACGTGGACGTGGTTGTGGACGTGGTCGTGGACGTGGACGTGGTCGTGGACGTGGTCGTGGACGTGGACGTGGTCGTGGACGTGGTCGTGGACGTGGACGTGGTCGTGGACGTGGAGGACTTGGACGTGGAGGACTTGGACGTGGACTGACGTGGACGCGGACGTGGACGGGGACGTGGACGCGGACGTGGACGCGGACGTGGACACAGACGTGGACGTGGACGTGGACGTGAACGTGGACGGGGACGTGGACGTGGACGTGGACGTGAACATTGATACGTGGACGCGGACGTGGACGTGGTCGTGGACGTGGACGTGGACGTGGTCGTGGACGTGGACGTGCACGTGGACGTGAACGTGAACGTGAACGTGGACATGGACGTGAACGTGGACGTGGACGTGAACGTGGACGTGAACGTGAACGTGGACGTGAACGTGAACGTGAACGTGAACGTGAACGTGAACGTGGACGTGGACGTGAACGTGGACGTGAACGTGAACGTGGACGTGGATGTGCACGTGGACGTGAACGTGAACGTGGACGTGAACGTGGACGTGGACGTGGACGTGGACGTGGTCGTGGACATGGACGTGGACGTGGACGCGGACGTGGACGTGGACGTGGACGTGAACATTGATACGTGGACGTGGACGTGGACGTGGACGTGGACATGGTCGTGGACGTGGACGTGGACGTAGACATGGTCGTGGACCTTGACGTGGACGTGGTCGTGGTCATGGACGTGGTCGTGGACGTGGACATGGACGTGGACGTGGACGTTGACGTGGACGTGGACGTGGACATGGACGTGGACGTGGACGTGGACGTGGTCGTGGACATGGACGTGGACGTGGACGTGGACGTGGACGTGGGCGTTGACGTGGGCGTGGACGTGGACGTGGACGTGGACGTGGACGTGGGCGTTGACGTGGTCGTGGACGTGGTTGTGGACGTGGACGTGGACGTGAACATTGATACGTGGACGTGGACGTGGACGTGGTCGTGGACGTGGACGTGGACGTGGACGTGGACGTGGTCGTGGACGTGGACGTGGACGTGGACGTGGACGTGGACGTGCACGTGGACGTGGACGTGAACGTGAACGTGGACGTGGACGTAGACGTGAACGTGAACGTGAACGTGAACGTGAACGTGGACGTGGACGTGAACGTGGACGTGGACGTGGACGTGAACGTGAACGTGGACGTGGACGTGCACGTGGACGTGAACGTGAACGTGGACGTGAACGTGGACGCGGACGTGGACGTGGTTGTGGACGTGGACATGGACGTGGACGCGGACGTGGATGTGGACGTGGACGTGAACATTGATACGTGGACGTGGACGTGAACGTGGACGTGGACGTGGACATGGTCGTGGACGTGGACGTGGACGTAGACATGGTCGTGGACCTTGACGTGGACGTGGTCGTGGTCGTGGACGTGGTCGTCGACGTGGACATGGACGTGGACGTGGACGTGGACGTGGACATGGACGTGGACGTGGACGTGGACGTGGACGTGGACATGGACGTGGATGTGGACATGGACGTGGATGTGGTCGTGGTCGTAGACGTGGACGTGGACGTGGACGTGGACGTGGACGTGGAGGACGTGGATGTGGAGGACGTGGACGTGGACGTGGAGGACGTGGACGTGGACGTGGACGTGGACGTGGTCGTGGACGTGGAGGTTGACGTGGACGTGGACGTGGTCGTGGACGTGGAGGACTTGGACGTGGACATGGATGTGGACGTGGACGTGGACGTGGACGTGGACATGGTCGTGGACGTGGACGTGGACGTGGACGTGGACATAGACGTGGATGTGGACGTGGACGTGGACGTGAACGTGGACGTGGACATGGTCGTGGACGTGGACGTGAACGTGGCAAAGACGTGGACATGGACGTGGACGTGAACGTGGACGTGGACGTGGACATGGACGTGGACGTACACGTGCACGTGGAAGTGGACATGGTCGTGGACGTGGACGTGAACGTGGACGTGGACGTGGACATGGTCGTGGACGTGGACTTGGACAGGTTCGTGCCTGGTCCACGACCGTGCCTGGTCCAGGAGCTTGCCTGGTCTAGGAGCTTGCCTGATATGGAGCTTGCCTGGTCCAGGAACTTGCCTGGTCCAGGAACGTGCCTGGTCCAGGAGCTTGCCTGGTCCATGAACGTGCCTGGTCTAGGAGCTTGCCTGGTCTAGGAACTTGCGTGGTCCAGGAACGTGCCTGGTCCAGGAGCTTGCCTGGTCCAGGAACGTGCCTGGTCCAGGAGCTTGCCTGGTCTAGGAGCTTGCCTGATCTGGAGCTTGCCTGGTCCAAGAGCTTGCCTGGTCCACGAGCCTGCCTGGTCCAAGAGCTTGCCTGGTCCAGGAACGTGCCTCGTCCACGAGCGTGCCTGGTCCAGGAGCTTGCCTGGTCCAGGAGCTTGCCTGGTCCAAGAGCTTGCCAGGTCCAAGAGCTTGCCTGGTCCAGGAGCTTGCGTGGTCCATGAGCTTGCCTGGTTCAGGAGCTTGCTTGGTCCACAAGCTTGCCTGGTCCAAGAGCTTGCCTCGTCCAAGAGCATGCCTGGTCCAAGAGCTTGCGTGGTCCTAGAGCTTGCCTTGTTCGGGAGCGTGCCTGGTCCACGAGCGTGCCTGGTCCAGGAGCTTCCTGGTCCAGGAGCTTGCCTTGTCCAGGAGCTTGCCTGGTCTCTGAGCGTGCGTGGTCCACGAGCCTGCCTGGTCCAAGAGCTTGCGTGGTCTAAGAGCGTGCCTAGTCCACGAGCGTGCCTGGTCCAGGAGCTTGCCTGGTCCATGAGCTTGCCTGGTCCAGGAGCTTGCCTGGTCCAGGAGCTTGCTTGATCCAGGGGCATGCCTGGTTCAGGAGCTTGCCTGGTCCAGGAGCTTGCCTGGTCCTAGAGCGTGCCTGGTCCAGGAGCTTGCCTAGTCCAGGAGCTTGCTTGGTCCAGAAGCGTGCATGGTGCAAGAGTTTGCCTGGTCTAGGAGCGTGCCTGGTACAAGAGCATGCGTGGTCCCGGAGCTTGCCTTGTCCAGGAGCTTGCCTGGTCCAGGAGCGTGCTTGGTCTAGGAGCTTGCTTGGTTCAGGAGCATGCCTCGTCCACGAGCGTGCCTGGTCTAGGAGCTTGCTTGGTTCAGGAGCTTGCCTGGTCTAGGAGCTTGCCTGGTCCAGGAGCGTGCCCGGTCCAGGAGTGTGCCTAGTCCAGGAGCTTGCTTTGTCCAGAAGCCTGCCTGATCCAAGAGCTTGCCTGGTCTAGGAGCGTGCCTAGTCCAAGAGCTTGCCTAGTCTAGGAGCTTGCCTGGTCCAGGAGCTTTGCCTAGTCTAGGAGCGTGCCTGGTTCATGAGCTTGCCTGGTCCAGGAGCTTGCCTGGTCCAAGAGCTTGCGTGGTCCAAGAGCTTGCGTGGTCCTGGAGCTTGACTGGTCCAGGTGCTTGCCTGGTCTAGGAGCTTGCCTAGTCCAGGAACTTGCGTGGTTCAGGAGCGTGCCTGGTCCACGAGTTTGCCTGGTCCAGAAGCTTGCCTGGTCCAGGAGCTTGCTTGGTCCAAGAGCTTGCCTGGTCCAGGAGCTTGCTTGGTCCAGGAGCTTGTCTGGTCCAGGAGCGTGCCTGGTCCACGAGTTTGCCTGGTCTAGAAGCTTGCCTGGTCCAGGAGCTTGCCTAGTCCAAGAGCTTGCCTGGTCCAGGAGCTTGCGTGGTCCAGAAGCTTGCCTAGTCCACTAGCTTGCCTGGTCCAAGAGCTTGCCTGGTCCAAGAGCTTGCGTGGTCCAAGAGCTTGCCTGGTCCAGGAGCTTGCCTGGTCTAGGGGCTTGCCTATTCCAGGAGCTTGCCTGGTCCAGGAGCGTGCCTGGTCCACGAGTTTGCCTGGTCAAGAAGCTTGGGTGGTCCAGGAGCTTGCCTGGTCCAAGAGTTTGCCTGGTCGAGGAGCTTGCCTGGTCCAGGAGCTTGCTTCGGAGATAACTACTACAACGGGAGCTAGACTACTGGCTAGGCACGTGTGCTCGTGTGATCTCTGCGTTCGTTGGTCCTTAGACGTTTTCCTTGTGCCAACACTGCTTGCTAGTTCACGGGGCAATTTGGCAAGAGTTTCACTAAGAAAAGATCACAACAATGGTACAATGAAGTTGGCAATGCAAGACTACATCAGAGCTAGCATTCAGGTTGGTCAACTGCCAGCACAGCATGGTCGACCGCATTCCAACACGACTTGGTCGACCGCGCTCCAGCAGAGCAAAGTCGACAGCTTGCCAATGCTTCAGGTCGACAGTGTGCCAGCAGTGCACCCGCTTTGCAGGTGCGTGCAGATGATTGGTATGCCGAGCCTCATCACCTGCACAGCACACACACACCACGTTAGCCTCGGACGTGGACGTGCACGTGGACGTGCACGTGGACGTGGACGTGGACGTGCATGTGGACGTGGACGTGGACGTGGACGTGGTCATGGACGTGGTCGTGGACGTGGAGGACTTGGACGTGGAGGACTTGGACGTGGACGTGGACATGGACGTGGACGTGGACGTGGACGTGGTCGTGGACGTGGTCGTGGACGTGGACGTGGTCGTGGACGTGGTCGTGGACGTGGACGTGGTCGTGGACGTGGTCGTGGACGTGGACGTGGACGTGGTCGTGGACGTGGAGGACTTGGACGTGGAGGACTTGGACGTGGACTGACGTGGACGCGGACGTGGACGGGGACGTGGACGCGGACGTGGACGCGGACGTGGACGCGGACGTGGACGTGGACGTGGACGTGGACGTGAACGTGGACGGGGACGTGGACGTGGACGTGGACGTGAACATTGATACGTGGACGCGGACGTGGACGTGGTCGTGGACGTGGACGTGGACGTGGACGTGGTCGTGGACGTGGACGTGCACGTGGACGTGAACGTGAACGTGGACGTGGACGTGAACGTGGACGTGGACGTGAACGTGGACGTGAACGTGAACGTGGACGTGAACGTGAACGTGAACGTGAACGTGAACGTGGACGTGGACGTGAACGTGGACGTGAACGTGAACGTGGACGTGGACGTGCACGTGGACGTGAACGTGAACGAGGACGTGAACGTGGACGTGGACGTGGACGTGGTCGTGGACATGGACGTGGACGTGGACGCGGACGTGGACGTGGACGTGGACGTGAACATTGATACGTGGACGTGGACGTGGACGTGGACATGGTCGTGGACGTGGACGTGGACGTAGACATGGTCGTGGACCTTGACGTGGACGTGGTCGTGGTCGTGGACGTGGTCGTGGACGTGGACATGGACGTGGACGTGGACGTTGACGTGGACGAGGACTTGGACATGGACGTGGACATGGACGTGGACGTGGACGTGGTCGTGGACATGGACGTGGACGTGGACGTGGACGTGGACGTGGGCGTTGACGTGGGCGTGGATGTGGACGTGGACGTGGACGTGGACGTGGGCGTTGACGTGGTCGTGGACGTGGTTGTGGACGTGGACGTGGACGTGAACATTGATACGTGGACGTGGACGTGGACGTGGTCGTGGACGTGGACGTGGACGTGGACGTGGACGTGGACGTGGTCGTGGACGTGGACGTGGACGTGGACGTGGACGTGGACGTGCACGTGGACGTGGACGTGAACGTGAACGTGGACGTGGACGTGGACGTGAACGTGAACGTGAACGTGAACGTGAACGTGGACGTGGACGTGAACGTGGACGTGGACGTGGACGTGAACGTGGACGTGAACGTGGACGTGGACGTGGACGTGCACGTGGACGTGAACGTGAACGTGGACGTGAACGTGGACGCGGACGTGGACGTGGTCGTGGACGTGGACATGGACGTGGACGCGGCCGTGGACGTGGACGTGGACGTGAACATTGATACGTGGACGTGGACGTGAACGTGGACGTGGACGTGGACATGGTCGTGGACGTGGACATGGACGTAGACATGGTCGTGGACCTTGACGTGGACGCGGTCGTGGTCGTGGACGTGGTCGTGGACGTGGACATGGACGTGGACGTGGACGTGGATGTGGACGTGGACGTGGACGTGGAGGTGGACGTGGACATGGACGTGGATGTCGACATGGACGTGGATGTGGTCGTGGTCGTAGACGTGGACGTGGACGTGGACGTGGAGGACGTGGATGTGGAGGACGTGGACGTGGACATGGAGGACGTGGACGTGGACGTGGACGTGGACGGGGTCGTGGACGTGGAGGTTGACGTGGATGTGGACGTGGTCGTGGACGTGGAGGACTTGGACGTGGACATGGATGTGGACGTGGACGTGGACGTGGACGTGGACATGGTCGTGGACGTGGACGTGGACGTGGACGTGGACGTGGACGTGGACATGGACGTGGACGTGGACGTGGACGTGAACGTGGACGTGGACATGGTCGTGGACGTGGACGTGAACGTGGCAAAGACGTGGTCATGGACGTGGACGTGAACGTGGACGTGGACGTGGACATGGACGTGGACGTACACGTGCACGTGGAAGTGGACATGGTCGTGGACGTGGACGTGAACGTGGACGTGGACGTGGACATGGTCGTGGACGTGGACCTCGACAGGAGCGTGCCTGGTCCACGACCGTGCCTGGTCCAGGAGCTTGCCTGGTCTAGGAGCTTGCCTGATATGGAGCTTGCCTGGTCCAGGAACTTGCTTGGTCCAGGAACGTGCCTGGTCCAGGAGCTTGCCTGGTCCATGAACGTGCCTGGTCCAGGAGCTTGCCTGGTCTAGGAACTTGCCTGGTCCAGGAACGTGCCTGGTCCAGGAGCTTGCCTGGTCCAGGAACGTGCCTGGTCCAGGAGCTTGCCTGGTCTAGGAGCTTGCCTGATCTGGAGCTTGCCTGGTCCAAGAGCTTGCCTGGTCCACGAGCCTGCCTGGTCCAAGAGCTTGCCTGGTCCAGGAACGTGCCTCGTCCACGAGCGTGCCTGGTCCAGGAGCTTGCCTGGTCCAGGAGCTTGCCTGGTCCAAGAGCTTGCCAGGTCCAAGAGCTTGCCTGGTCCAGCAGCTTGCGTGGTCCATGAGCTTGCCTGGTTCAGGAGCTTGCTTGGTCCACAAGCTTGCCTGGTCCAAGAGCTTGCCTCGTCCAGGAGCATGCCTGGTCCAAGAGCTTGCGTGGTCCTGGAGCTTGCCTTGTTCGGGAGCGTGCCTGGTCCACGAGCGTGCCTGGTCCAGGAGCTTCCTGGTCCAGGAGCTTGCCTTGTCCAGGAGCTTGCCTGGTCCCTGAGCGTGCCTGGTACATGAGCCTGCCTGGTCCAAGCGCTTGCGTGGTCAAAGAGCGTGCCTAGTCCACGAGCGTGCCTGGTCCAGGAGCTTGCCTGGTCCATGAGCTTGCCTGGTCCAGGAGCTTGCCTGGTCCAGGAGCTTGCTTGATCCAGGAGCATGCCTGGTTCAGGAGCTTGCCTGGTCCAGGAGCTTGCCTGGTCCTAGAGTGTGCCTGGTCCAGGAGCTTGCCTAGTCCAGGAGCTTGCTTGGTCCAGAAGCGTGCATGGTGCAAGAGCTTGCCTGGTCTAGGAGCGTGCCTGGTACAAGAGCATGCGTGGTCCCGGAGCTTGCCTTGTCCAGGAGCTTGCCTGGTCCAGGAGCGTGCTTGGTCTAGGAGCTTGCTTGGTTCAGGAGCATGCCTCGTTCACGAGCGTGCCTGGTCTAGGAGCTTGCTTGGTTCAGGAGCTTGCCTGGTGTAGGAGCTTGCCTGGTCCAGGAGCGTGCCCGGTCCAGGAGTGTGCCTAGTCCAGGAGCTTGCTTTGTCCAGAAGCCTGCCTGATCCAAGAGCTTGCCTGGTCTAGGAGCGTGCCTAGTCCAAGAGCTTGCCTAGTCTAGGAGCTTGCCTGGTCTAGGAGCTTTGCCTAGTCTAGGAGCGTGCCTGGTTCATGAGCTTGCCTGGTCCAGGAGCTTGCCTGGTCCAAGAGCTTGCGTGGTCCAAGAGCTTGCGTGGTCCTGGAGCTTGACTGGTCCAGGTGCTTGCCTGGTCTAGGAGCTTGCCTAGTCCAGGAACTTGCGTGGTTCAGGAGCGTGCCTGGTCCACGAGTTTGCCTGGTCCAGAAGCTTGCCTGGTCCAGGAGCTTGCTTGGTCCAAGAGCTTGCCTGGTCCAGGAGCTTGCTTGGTCCAGGAGCTTGTCTGGTCCAGGAGCGTGCCTGGTCCACGAGTTTGCCTGGTCTAGAAGCTTGCCTGGTCCAGGAGCTTGCCTAGTCCAAGAGCTTGCCTGGTCCAGGAGCTTGCCTGGTCCAGAAGCTTGCCTAGTCCACTAGCTTGCCTGGTCCAAGAGCTTGCCTGGTCCAAGAGCTTGCGTGGTCCAAGAGCTTGCGTGGTCCAAGAGCTTGCGTGGTCCTGGAGCTTGACTGGTCCAGGTGCTTGCCTGGTCTAGGAGCTTGCCTAGTCCAGGAACTTGCGTGGTTCAGGAGCATGCCTGCTCCACCAGTTTGCCTGGTCCAGAAGCTTGCCTGGTCCAGGAGCTTGCTTGGTCCAAGAGCTTGCCTGGTCCAGGAGCTTGCTTGGTCCAGGAGCTTGTCTGGTCCAGGAGCGTGCCTGGTCCACGAGTTTGCCTGGTCTAGAAGCTTGCCTGGTCCAGGAGCTTGCCTAGTCCAAGAGCTTGCCTGGTCCAGGAGCTTGCCTGGTCCAGAAGCTTGCCTAGTCCACTAGCTTGCCTAGTCCAAGAGCTTGCCTGGTCCAAGAGCTTGCGTGGTCCAAGAGCTTGCGTGGTCCAAGAGCTTGCGTGGTCCTGGAGCTTGACTGGTCCAGGTGCTTGCCTGGTCTAGGAGCTTGCCTAGTCCAGGAACTTGCGTGGTTCAGGAGCGTGCCTGGTCCACGAGTTTGCCTGGTCCAGAAGCTTGCCTGGTCCAGGAGCTTGCTTGGTCCAAGAGCTTGCCTGGTCCAGGAGCTTGCTTGGTCCAGGAGCTTGTCTGGTCCACGAGCGTGCCTGGTCCACGAGTTTGCCTGGTCTAGAAGCTTGCCTGGTCCAGGAGCTTGCCTAGTCCAAGAGCTTGCCTGGTCCAGGAGCTTGCCTGGTCCAGAAGCTTGCCTAGTCCACTAGCTTGCCTGGTCCAAGAGCTTGCCTGGTCCAAGAGCTTGCGTGGTCCAAGAGCTTGCCTGGTCCAGGAGCTTGCCTGGTCTAGGGGCTTGCCTATTCCAGGAGCTTGCCTGGTCCAGGAGCGTGCCTGGTCCACGAGTTTGCCTGGTCAAGAAGCTTGGGTGGTCCAGGAGCTTGCCTGGTCCAAGAGTTTGCCTGGTCGAGGAGCTTGCCTGGTCCAGGAGCTTGCTTCGGAGATAACTACTACAACGGGAGCTAGACTACTGGCTAGGCACGTGTGCTCGTGTGATCTCTGCGTTCGTTGGTCCTTAGACGTTTTCCTATTGCTAACACTGCTTGCTAGTTCACGGTGCAATTTGGCAAGAGTTTCACTAAGAAAAGATCACAACAATGGTACAATGAAGTTGGCAATGCAAGACTACATCAGAGCTAGCATTCAGGTTGGTCAACTGCCAGCACAGCATGGTCGACCGCATTCCAACACGACTTGGTCGACCGCGCTCCAGCAGAGCAAAGTCGACAGCTTGCCAATGCTTCAGGTCGACGGTGTGCCAGCAGTGCACCCGCTTTGCAGGTGCGTGCAGATGATTGGTATGCCGAGCCTCATCACCTGCACAGCACACACACACCACGTCAGCCTCGGGCTGACGGCTACCTCTGATCTGCCACGACGACCTCGTGATACCACCACCAAGGTCGGTCTCGCCAGCTTCGCCTGGGCGACCGTCGCACTCCTCCGCAGCACTTCGTCACCCAGGTAACCTGGTCGACCGGGCAACCACATCGACCAGCAACTCCCGTACGTGTCCGTCGACCTCCCAAGTCGACGACCACCTCGTTGTCGACCTCACCGGGTCGACCATGCCCCTCGGTCGACGACCATGTCACTCGACGCCCGACTGCTCGACGCCCGACTGCTCGACGTCCTGACTGCTCGACGTCCTGCTACTCGACGTCGACCCCTCCTTCGTCGACCACCGGTCCAGTCAACCACCCGCAGGTCGACCAGCACATCAGCCGACCACCAAAGTCGGCTTCCCAAGTTGACGTCCTCCGCAGGTCGACGCTTAAGTCGACCTCCCCGAAGTTGGCGCCACCCCGAAGTCGGCGCCCGTGCAGTGGTCCCCGTGCAGGTCGACCTCCTCGTCGACCAGCTCGCCCACTGCTGCAGGTCGGCTGCTCCCCTAACACCCGACCACGATGTCGGCTCCGCCCAAGCGTGGACGGGGCCAACATACAACTCCCGTTGACACTCCCCTACCGCGTTCACGCTTGGTCCCCCTCAAGTCCACTCGGCAGTACTCCTCGGAGAATAGCTCGTCGACGTGCACCCAACACACCGCACGTCGTCCACCGCACCAGCCATGCAAGAGGGCATGGCACCTACTGCTGCACGTCGTTGTCGCCGTCGCCCACGTTGGCCAAGCGCACCTGGCCGATTGCGACGGAGCACCGGTTGAAGGCCGGATAGTGCAGCGCCTTCGTCAGGAAGTCGGCCGGCTGCTCAGTGGTTGGGATGTACCTCAACGAGAACTTCCCGCGCTTCACCATGTGCTGCAGCCAGGCCTGTCGCCGCTCCATGTGCTTGAG